GACCTCCACCCCACTCTAGGAAGAGGTCGAAGCCCAATCTATGTGGAAACTTAAACATAGCCCAGCCCTGGTTAGACACCCAGTGGGAGCTGAGAAGAACATGGCAGGTGAGCTTGGGAGGTCCATTGCAAACACGGGTGCTAAGTCAGTGATGGCGAACCTTTTGAGCTCAGCGTGTCAGCATTTGAAAAACCCTAACTTAACTCTGGCACCGTGTCACATATAGAAATTTTTTGATATTTGCAACCATAGTAAAACAAAGATTTATATTTTTGATATTTATTTTATATATTTAAATGCCATTTAACAAAGAAAAATCAACCAAAAAAATGAGTTCGCGTGTCACCTCTGACACGCGTGTCATAGGTTCGCCATCACTGTGCTAAGTCAAGTGCACAAGACTAGAAGTTCACAACACCAGAGGCAGGAAAAGGTAGCAGGAGACACAGGTAGGAAGATCTAGGAAGCCCAGGTCCAGCTGCACTTCAAGCCACACCAGCATTTCTACTGTGGGGAGAGAACCAGACCTAGGGATCTAGGAAGACAGAGAGGCATGAATTCCCTACACGTCTGAGAGAAGACCCAGAAAAACACTCACAATCCATTGGCCAAAGATAAAGAGACAGGCCCTGGGCCTGGGGCAAAACATCCACTTTCTAAGGGAGAAGGTGCAGGGTTCTCACTCACCTGTAGCTGGAGCAGTTATCAAACAGCCAAAGACAGCAATCATCAGAAAGTGACCAGTCTAATGACACTTATACTTCCATCTACATTTGAAAGTCTTTTTTCCCCCCAATGTAAGACCCAACCTTAAATGGAAATTTCAGCCATGAAAGTGTTAAACTTAACCAGGCTGTTGCATATGGAATCAACATTCAAGCTTTCATAATACAATATTACATTTACCTTTAGTTACAATCAAGTGTTAAGCTTTGCTTAAGCCAATGATCTCACTAGTCCAGAGGTTGACAAACTATATTCTTCAGGCATACCACCTGTTTTTAGAAATTAAGTTTTGTTGGAACATAGCCACATCCATGTGTTTGCTCATTATCTGAGGCTGTTTGGGGGCTACAAAGGGAAAGTCAGATAGTTTCCATAGAAACCATATGGCCAGCAAAGTCTGAAATATTTACTCTCTGGTCCTTGATGGAAAAAGTGTGTGACCTCTGAAATAGCCGATAGAAGAATAAAGGGGAGCACAAGTAGATGAATACTTCTCTTCTATTAAGAATGTTAAGACTTCATTTATTTGCCTGAAAATATTTAGTGAGCATCTGGAATGTGCCTTAGCACTTCCTAAGCCCTGGGGACAGAGCAGTGGAGAAAACTGGGTGCTTGCCTTCAGGAAGCTTACAGTCTAGTGGGGAGAAGTTGACCAAAATAAACACAATATGACGCACAGAGATATGCCTTTGAAGGCGACATAAGTTTTGAAGGAAAAGAGTGGCTGGCGTTGTGGTGGGAGAAGGACTTTGATTATGTGACATTTGAACAGAGACCATCCTCACCCCACTATGGAAGTAAGCCTTGCTTTCAGGTAAGAGTATTCCTGACAAAAGCAACAAAGATAAACAAAGAAATGAAACTGTGTTTGCTGTATTCAAGGAAAACTAAGAGAAGGTCAGTGGACTGTATCAGGGAAAGCAACGGTGAACAGGAAAAGGAAATGCATTTAGAAAGATAGCAGGTGTCAGATCTGATAAAGAATTTGGATTTCACTCCATTACGTGGAAAGCTAATGAAAAAGTTTTATCCCAAATTAGTGAAATCATCTGATTCTTGTTTAAGAGCAATCACTCTGGCTGTGGTATGTAATGTAGAGGTCAAACGTAGAAGCCAAGAAAGCCGTTAAAAGGCTCTATCAAACATAGAAGTCAAGAAAGTAGTTAAAAGTCAGCCTCTGCTAGGTTTTGCTGCAATAACAGGAACTGTAGAATCTCAGTGATTTAGAACCACAAAAGTTTTTTCTGGCTCCATTGGATGTTGACTATTGCTCTGATTGATATTGTCTGCAATCCATATAGAAAGACTAGCCCCAATCTATAACATCACGGGGCTCATGGCACATGGATGAGAAATGACATAACTACATGATGGCTCTTGCTCAACAGCAGCACATGTCATTTGCATACATATTTCACTGGCCAAAACACACAAATGGGCATGCCTATTATCAACATATCTCACAGGAAGGGGTAGTGAAATGTGGGGATGATGATAAAAACCTAGCTAGCAGTTATGACAAAGATTTTTGGATCAAGATGACTGAGGTAGAGGGGCTGAGATGTGGCTTTGTTATAAATATATTTAAGACAGGATTGCTGATGAATCAAAAGCTGTGAGAGAAACAGAAGTCAAGAATGGCTCTAATGCAGTGGTGGGTCGCGACCCCTTTGGTGGTCGAACGACCCTTTCACAGGGGTCGCCTAAGACCATCCTGCATATCAGGTATTTACATTATGATTCATAACAGTAGCAACATTACAGTTATGAAGTAGCAACGAAAATAATTTTATGGTTGGGTCACAACATGAGGAACTGTATTTAAAGGGCCAGAAGGTTGAGAACCACTGCTTTAAGGGCTCTGTCTTAAGTGGTTAAGCTCATTAGCTGCAGGACAGTTACTGCAAAGGTTAAGACTAGAGCATAAGCTCTAGAGCAGTGATGGCGAACCTATGACACCTCTGACACGCAAACTCATTTTTTTGGTTGATTTTTCTTTGTTAAATGGCATTTAAATATATAAAATAAATATCAAAAATATAAGTCTTTGTTTTACTATGGTTGCAAATATCAAAAAATTTCTATATGTGACACGGCACCAGAGTTAAGTTAGGGTTTTCCAAAATGCTGACATGCCGAGCTCAAAAGGTCGAGCTCAAAAGGTTTGCCATCACTGCTCTAGAGTCAGATAGACTTTCCTGGGGTTTCTTGGCATCTCCTCTCTGTGACCTTGGGCAAATTGGTAAATATCTCTGAGTTTCCATTGTACAATCTTTAAAATGCTGGGTATCATTTTCCTTACAGAATGTTTCTAGCATGAGATAAGATATGTGTCTACAACATAATAAATGCTCATTTAATGGCACCTCTTGTTAGTCAGAGTCTAAAAGGGAAGATTTAGGGTAAGTGGGGAGGGAGGCACCAGTGAGGTAAGTAACCTTAGTTGACTTGGGAACATGTGCCCATTATAAGCTGGGTTCTCTACCTTCTCTTGATGCACTTTCACCCACAGGCTTGATGAGTGAAGCTTGTCACCCCCACTTTACAGATTAGTAAACCAATACACAGAGGCATTACGTGATTTTTCCCAAGGTCACACAGCTTGGAAGGCAAAGAAGTAGGACTAACACACAAGTGTGTTTGAATCCCAGGCCTGTGCTCAAATAAATCAAATAAAGAATTTAAAATGTTGGTGTAGCTTGCTATTTATAATGCACTTATTTTTGATGGCATCAACTATCATAAAAGTTTAAACTGATCATGTATGAAAGGCAATCTGTGAATTCACTTCTAGGAAATGGTGTGAGCGATTATTTCGCTCCATGCAGGCACATCCTTCTCAGAGGATATATGCAAATGTAGTACAGAATTAGAAAGTCTTATTTATAGTCTGGGGCCAGGGAAATAGCTTTCTGGCTTGAATATAAAGGAAGGTAGAAGAGACAGTGGAAAGGCCCAGGCATAAGGAGTGAGAGTGGAAATCCCCACTTGAAAAGAGAATATGAAAAGAATAAATGCAGCTAAAAACAAACATATGCATATGTAAAACCACAGTAGTATTGAGAGCAACATAATTAAAAATAAGTGAGATCTCACTTTAATACCAGTTCAGTGATAAAAATATTTTGAAAAAGTAATGCCGAAAGCTGGTGGCTATGCATTGAAAGCTGGTCCTTCATACATTGCTCTGGGCAATTGAAGATGAAAAGCAATTTGGAGAAACACAGGAGACTTTAAAAGTATTCATATTCTTTGATTCAATAATTCCCCTTCTGAGAATTCATTCCCAGAATAATTCAAACTACTAGGAAAAAAATGAAGATGTTCTTTGTAGAATTATTTGAATGATAGCTCTTAAAATGTTGGTTCCACAACTGGGTAATGGTTAAATCAATTATGATACTGCTACTCCCTAGAATTTTATACAGATTTTGAAGCTTATGACATACACCCTTAAAAAGAAATACAGACTGAGCAATGAATTACTGATACATGTTACAGCATGGATGAATGAAAGCATGCTAACTGAAAGATGCCAGATGTAAAACACCACATATATGTGATTCTATTTATATGAAGTGTTTGGAATAGGCATATCTGTGGAGACAGAAGTAGAATAGTGGTTTCCTAGGGCTGGGTGTATGGGGAGAGGGTGAGGAAAGGGGGAGTGACTGATAATGGAAACAGATTTCTTTTGGGGGGTGATAATAATGTCCTAACTTAGATTGGGATGATGGGTGCACAACTGGTGAATATACTAAAAATCATGTCATTGTATACTTTAAATGGGCGAATTATATCTCATAACAATGTTAAAAAATACAAATAGAGTATTTTCCATAATTAAAACTAAGTTATACTAATATATAAAAAACAACCTAGTATATAACCAAATGCCAGCAGTGGTTTGGTTCAAAGGGTGAATTTATGGGTGAAAATATTTGCCTTCTCTTGTGTAAGTTTGTTGCAATATGATTAGAGTTGTTTTTTTTTATTATTAAAAAAACCAAGTAGATGTAATGAGAAAATAGAACCATTCTCCTTCACCAAAATAGTTTTTTGGGTGTGTTCCTTTTTGTTTTTGTTTTTTTAACCTTGCTAAGAGTCAGAAAATTTAGAGTGCAGCAGCCTTCACAATCCTTTCTGGCCATTTCAAGCCGTTTGATACTATTTTACAAATGGAAACTATAGCCATATTAATGAGTATAACCCCAACGAAAAATAGACACATTAAAATTCTGGTATATTGAACATATATGTATTCTCATTTTTAGGAAGTGATAGAAGCAATCGCTGAGTGTGCATTTAAGACTTCACCTTTTCCAATTCTCCTTTCATTTGAGAATCATGTGGACTCGTAAGTATTTAACACATGCAATAGGAAGTCTTTTTCTCCAAATAGGGCATGTTTAATAATTGTTCATCTGATGTAAGATTATTTGACATTATTAATGGTGTTCTTTGATTATGTTATGTATTAGGTGGCATGTTTTCATCTGTGTGAAATAGAATTCATTCATTTAAATCTCATTTATGTTAACATAATCCATTGGACTTTTGAAATCTATTTCCATGCCATAGTAGGATTCTTACAAGGCAATGGAGCACATTGCCTTACATAATATGAGTCTCTATTTCAGGGGGCACTTTTACGATCCTCCTCCATTAGCTCCTTCTGTTGCATGCAAATTGATGGTCAGTTTAGCCATTCCACAATGGAGAGTTCCATATACATGGGAGCTGGTGCAGGGACAGCTGTAGATTCTATTCTGCCACTTTGCACTTATATAGAACACAGACCACCAGATGTTCCCTCTATCCTCTTCCCATTGGTGGCCCCAGTTTGTTAGTATTGGCAAACTTTTTCCTATTTCAAAATAGCCTGCACTTATTTCTGAGCTACACAAAGAAAAGGCAGTTTTCACTTCTACTCTTTTATATTCATTTATGACAGAGGACCAGCGTAAGACACGTTTATTTCAAATACGTGGGTATTAGTTTATCATGCACTTCATTTCAAGAACTTCAAAATGAAAAAGTCTAATTTGTATTGAATCAAAATTCAAGCAACTGAAATTCTTGACCATGGAATTAACATCTAAAGATGATGACGGAGCAGTGGCCATCATTGCTCAAACCAGCATTTGGGAAGTCGTCCTCTTTTATTTCAAGGACCTGCGCCAGTTTTCTCTACCAGCCAGCAGCACCTGTCCTGATCACAAGGTCCTTCCTCCCTGCTCATTGAAAGTCCTTTCCAGGTCACTAGTTCCTTCTGCCCAACTAGTTTCCACACAGGCTCCACTTCAGTAAGTCTTAGGGAAGCAGGTTGGTCATGAGCAAATTTCAGCTTCAGGAAATTCCTATGCAGTTAAATGGGATCATCTGTTAACGTGTATGTGGCGAGAGCCCTTACTTCTAGTTTGTCCTCAGGAAACCTGTGTTACCGTTACCAGCTCATGATTCTGTTTCATTCGGAAACAGTCACCCAATGGATGATGTAATCATTGGGTCCATAATTTTTTAACACTTCTTCTGCGGGTCGACTGAAGAGAAAAATATGTCCTTCCCTTACATTGCTTTTTCTGTTCTAACAAAAGGGAGCAGCGCCCCTTCAGTTGCTGCATTTCTTACCTCATTTGCTGCGACAGCTCTGATTTACAGCTGACTTTCCTGGAGCCTTCTCTCATCTCTGCCCACCCATGTGTAACGGGGCTCTCACAGTGTTTTAGCATCTTTCTTCCAGGCACTATAATTCCCAGACTTGTTGATGGTTATTTCCTTTGTGGAAGAATCTCTCTAAATCTCGCACCTTTATTTTCTTCAAGAAATATTTCTGTCAATGAGACAAAGTGAAAAGCTGTTTACAAAATGTACAAATCCATTCTTGAGGATCACACCCACTATGTTGAGTTCTCCTATAAGGTAGCCAGAGAGGTATCAACAACCAAAACCACCACACACATAATAACAGCCAAGATTCATTATGTCCTGAGCAGGGTTCCAAGCATAAGCCCATATAACCCTCACCACAAAGCCAGGTGCTCCTAAGAATACATATCATGATTATGATTGTCCCTATTTGACAGATGAAGAAACTGAGTCCCAAAGAGAGTAACTTTCCCAAGGCCGTTCAGCTAAACCGAGACAGAGCTGGGACTCCAATTCAGCTAGTCTGGCTTCAAACATGGATTTAACCACCACCATCCCCACACCTAAGCAGAGGTTCACGAACCTTGAAAACATCAAATGAAGACCATGAGAGCATCCACAAGGCACCTGCCTGCAAATGTTCACATTTCTGTAGTTGTACCCTTAACCACAGGACATTTTTTGCCATCTTTTAACACCCGTCATACGGAGAGCCCAAAGGGCATGAAAGCTAAGCCTATGTTGCACACAAAAGCAAAAACGATAATGCCATAATACTGTTCTTTCTGGTTTAAAACATGAGAAATTTAGCTATTAAAAGCTTATGAATAATTCACGCGTAACAAAAGAAAACAGGAAAACAACCTCTGGATGTCCTGCTGTTTATCTCCAACCGTTGAGATAATCTAATAGCCGTGAAATACGAAGATACTGACTTCTGTTGTGGGAGGAAGTTGTTTGCTTCATAATCCTGTTGTCCTTGAGCTGCACATAGCAAAATCGCTCAACCACAGTCTTTTCCTGGGAGGACTGTCATGCACCCTAAGAAATCTGATAAGCTTTCCCTTTGCTGGTAAAATCTTCTGCTTGACACGTGAGCCACCTCACCTCATTGCTGAACCGGGAGCCAGACATCATTCATCAGCTGCAGCACGAGTTCCCACTAAATCTAGATGTAACCTCAGAATCCTTCTCAACAGAGAGGCCCAGGGACACAGCCACCAAAGACGTCTGAAGTCTATGTGCTGTCTCTACTGAACCATGTTACCCTCCTGCAGGTAACAGGCTGCGGATCTCTGGTCCCAGCTCCTGTGAGCCAAAGCAAACTTACTGGGAAAGATAAAACTCACGGAATTTTCTGGTTTTCTCTCCAAATATCTGCAATCACCTATTCATGGATGGCAGAGGGGAATCTGCCACCAGTTGCTGGCAACTTCTCCTGGTCCAGCTGCTACCTTCAGAAACCCACAAAATGCAGATTCCTGAGCCACACCCCCATTCCTGACTTCAAATTTCTAGAAATAAGCCTTGGAAAAGTCCAAGTTCACTCCCATGCTCCGCCTAATTTGTGACCTAGCACTTTCACAAGAAGAATTCTACACTGAAATCTAAGGAAGTAACGTCTAGCCATGGTTCAGCCACTGGCAGTGGGAGCTTTGGCCCGGGCTTTTAATTCCCATGCACTGTCGATGCCTCATCTACAGAGAAGGAACTGGTTTAGTTCAATGTAGAGGTCTGACCCCATGAAATGAGGCACGTTTCTCGGTTAGAGTACTGACCACTTTGCCAGGTGCCTACACTTTATTAAAACACTGCAGGTATTTTAACATCTCTAGATGGTCTGAAGCTCAAAAATGTGTATGTGAATATTTTCCTCTTACTTCATCTCCATGGTAGCCACTGTTGATACTCTCAATGCTATTTCTGCAGTTCTGACCCGCAATTAAAGCTGGTTTGTTTTCCACGGTCCTTTTCTATTCAGTTTGCCCTCTGTTCTGCTTCAGTTTCCTGTCAGGTGGGCACGTGAGCTTGTGAATTGCCTGGTTACCAAATAGGGCGCTTTACTTTTTTCTTGGATACCTGCCTCTTGTTCTCTCCTTCTCTGTTGATTTTGAGGCAGGTTTGTAGAAAGTCTAGGTCAGACGTAGATCTTTGCTGTACAAAGTGCGGTCGATCCGTGGACCAGCACCGTAGGCATCACTGGGAGCTTGATTGAAATGCAGTCTCAGGCCCCACCCCAGACTCTGACTTCTAACCCTCATTTTCTTAAGGCCTCCCGTGATTTGAGTGAAGCCTGAGCTCTCTGCTCTAAGCACTGCAGCCTGTTAACCACCTGCCTTGGAATGACCTGCAGACGTGTTACAAATGCAGGTGTCAGGCCTCCACTCCCAGCCCAGTGAGTCAGGGGACTGGAGACTACGCCTGCCACCTGCAGCTTTAACAGCTTCAGGTGACTCTTTAGTGCAGTGGTTCTCAACCTTGGCTGCACATTAGAATCACCTGGGAATCTTTTTAAAATCCTGATTTCTGGGCCTCATCCTCTGGAAATTCTGTTTTGTTATGGGGGGGCCTCATCCTCTGGAAATTCTGTTTCTTTGTTATGGGGTGGGGCCACAACATTAGTAACAAAGAAACAGAATTTTCGGAGGATGAGGCCCAGAAATCAGGATTTAAAAAGATTCCCAGGTGATTCTAATGTGCAGCCAAGGTTGAGAACCACTGCTTTAGTGGAATCGGGTGTAAGATTGTGCTCCAGAAAATTCCTTCTCTGGGCCTGGAGGACTATTTTATAGAGCACAGGAATCTGCCTGTCACCTGCAAGGGACACCTGGAACATCTCCCTCTGCTGGTGAGACTATTGTTCCCTGAGAAATCCTGAAAGCAGGGCATTCCTGTGAAGCCCTTTTCCCTCCAGGTCTCTGATCAAAGGAACCTGGGGCTCCAAATTCCAAAACTCAAGAAAAATATCATCTACTTCAGCACCTGTTCACTTATTTTAATCAATCGTAGTATTTGAGTTTTTTGTTTTTTTTTAATTAATCCTCACCATCGATTTTTAGACAGAGTGGAAGGGAGAGGGGGAGACAGAGAGAGAAACATCGATGTGAGAGAGATACATCGATTGATTACCTCCCACACATGCCTCAACCACTGCTGGGGATCAAGTCTGCAACCAAGGTACATGTCCTTGATCAGGACTCGAACCCGGGACCCTTCAGTCTGCAGGCTGATGGTCCAACCACTGAGCCAAATTGGCTAGGGCAATCATAGCTGGTTTAAACTTGAGCGTGCTTTAGAATGATCTAGAAGCCTTGTTCAGACACAGACCTTGGGCCGTGCTTCCTCAGAGATTCTGATTCAGAATTTGCCTTGAAGGCCTTGAACCTGCATTTCTAACCAGCTCCAAGGGCTGTTGATGCTGCTGGGCCATGGACCACACTTGGGTAGCAAAGGTCTGTGATGTTTAGTAGCTTCATTCTGTGAAAGTGAAATGGAGGGTTTGGACAGTTTCTTTTGTGCAATCTGGACCATGCGGGCCCCGCACAGATGGACGTGATTGAGCTACAGGCACAGAGCTGGCTGGCTTGGTTGAGCCTCAGGGTCAGTTATCCTTTGAGCAAAAGTGTCTGAACTGAGGATTCCCGGGCTGCCTGCCAGATGGGCTGCATCTCTGCTTGTTCCCCAACTTCTCAGACGTTGCACCCCCAGTGCTTTTCAGGATGCTGCTCTGACTGGCAGTTTTCCTCTCTGTGTAACTGCGGAGGAATGCCACAGTCTATGCTCAGGGCTGCCTGGCCATGCAGTCCCATGCAGTCATATGCCTCCAGGAAGGCGGGTTGAGACGTTGGGAAGCTGCTATGTAGGGATTTGCAAGTTCTGTGACTCTCTTCTTTGCCTCTCCCTGCAATTCCATATTCAGGCTCATATTTGGACCCCAGAAAACTCACTAGAACCCCCAAATATATGCTTTTTTACAAAGGGGGGCATAAGGAGTGCTTTTCCCTGTGGGCCATTACGATATGATTTGAACCCCCAAAGCCACCCCCCTCCAGGAAAAAGCAGTCCATGATCTGGGCTTAACAGTCATGTCTTCCAAGAGGGAAGGAAAATAATCACATTTTAAATCAACTGGAATTGTATAAAGAAGGCTTTTTATCACTTACTTTTTCTTGCTTCAGTCCCAGTTCTGCTAAAGGTGTTCACATCGCAGCACGTAGAGAGGACTGTTGGAAATCGAGTTTGGCAGCCTGTAGATCAAAATCACGGTCCACAAAGCCCGATGGAATTGGATGCCTTTGTAATGATATTTAACATTCTACAGAATGAGAAAAATGTTATTGCTTTGCAAAAGGTCAAAGGAAGAAGGAGTATTGAAAGACTACGGATGTTCCCTCATAGGAATGGTGTTTCTATGTTCGCAGGCTCACAAGTTGTCTAGTCTGACTGCGATCATCTTACCTTTGCCCTGGTCTTTAATGTTGAAAAGGCGTTTGCATCCTTTACTTCATCTTCTCAGCAGCGTTGTCCCTTTCCAGGAGTAGTTATTATCCTCTCCATTACACATCAAGAATGGTTGAGAGCCTGGAGTCTCCAACCTTTTCCCATCAGACCAGATGCCTGCAGGCACATAGTCAGGCTGACAGACCTTTGTTTCCCTACTATGCACATAAGAGTTGCAGACACCTTTCTCCAAGGTGCCTGCTGCTTTGCCTTTCCTCTAGGACCTCTCCCCAAGGCTTCTGCCCATCTGTCCTTTCTTCTACATTTTGAGATATATTCTCTCTCTCCCTCCTTCCCTCTCTCCCTCTCTCTCTTTCCTTCTCTCCCTGTTTCCTTCCTCTCTGTCCAAATCTCTCCTTTCCTCCCTCTCCTCCCTTACCTCCTTATAAACCTCCTTTGCAGTCTAGGTTTTTCTGTTGGTTGAACAAATTTCATCCAAGAATTCACATGAAATCATGAACAAATTCCACCCCCAAGTGTCTTGCATTTGACTTGGAATCAGGAAATTAAACCAAAGGGATTGATTCCCTAACTCTGGGATATTCGAGAATACTGCCGGAGTGTGGTATTCAGATTCTCAGAGGGCAGGTAGTAAACAAGGGATTTTGAATGATAAACACGGATCCAGAAAGGGCATTGCCTCTTTCAGTGATTAATAACACAGTAAGCCTCCTGTCCAGCCTCTGGAGTAAGCCTCCTTGCTGCCCCCTCCCCCTTCTCTCTCTCTCCTTTCCCACAGCCCGAAGCAGCAGGCCAAGATGGCAGAGTATTGTCGGCTGATCTTTGGGGATGCCCTTCTCATGGAGCCCCTGGAAAAATACCCAGTAAGCATTTTTGATGTTTACCTCTGAGGGGACGCATGTATTATTTATGAGTGGAGGTAGGGGGGCACTTCCTTACATGTCTTTCATGTTTACCTTTCTTGGTAAGATTATGTCCTTGACAGTGAACCTTTGGACTGGGAGGAGACGGGTAGTGTGTGCCACTGAGGGTGGGAGACATCATTCTCTTCCTCTGCCCACAGTCTCCCTCCCTCTCCCTCGCTGCCAGACGTGACCCACTCAGGACTGCAGGGCTCCCACAGGCAACCGCAGCCCACAGAGGCCGTCTGAGGGGACAGGGCTCTATTCACCTCCCAGGGAACCACATCACACCCCTTTGAGAGAAAAGGGTTGGCAAAACGGGACCTTGCAGGTGGCACAGTGACATCTGGGCCTGTCCCTGCTGGCCGCTGCTCACTTCCCAGAACGTGCCTCTCGGGGTGGTAGAACTCAGGCGTCCTGTAGCCATGGAAACACCCCTGCTTTGGGAGGGCAAGCAGCAGAAACAGCCTCTGGTAGCCTCTTCCCTCTTCCACCCTCTCTTCAAGTCTCCCCACATCCTTACACGATTTTTCATACCAGTGCCCAGGCTCGTTGAAAGCAAAGAACACAGGATGGGCTTATGGGAGTTTCTCAAAACAGCCCCTCTCGGGACTTGCACAGGTGCTCCTGATGCAGCATCTAATAACCCTCGCAGGGGAAACTGATTTTCCCACTAGAGGTGCAAGCTTGAAACACCGGAAGTAAGCCTTGCAAACAAGGGTGGCTTGAACCTCAGGGCGGCAAGGAAGTCTGAAGCCACCTGCTCCGCTTCTGCCCGTGCCAAGGAGGCTGCAGCTAAACTACCTGGCACCAGGAAGGGGCTTTTACTGTTTTGAAACTGCACTGAAAATTGGGTTCTACAGTGCCTGTCTTTGCCAACTCTGCCTGGCAGACGCCACACTCTAACTGGCTTCCTCCTTGGACAGTCCAGGCCAGGCCTCCTTTTCTGTCCTAAGTCAAAGGGGTTGGATTTATATGGCCCTGTGGACACTCATGGCACTTCGTGTTCGCACACAAAAGCTACTAGTGTATTTCTGTGATCTGATGCATGTGGATTCGCTGGGGGAAAATAAGAATGGTAATTATAATGTGCCTGCTATGGGAAAAAGCCAAGAGCCCTGAGCCAGCCCCGCTCAGCACACACTTAATTTATCTTCATCTTATCTTATCAGGGGTAAAGGATAACCTGGAAGCTCTTGGAGTCCAGAGCTGTCCTGGGGGCTTGGGGAGAGAATCTGAAAGGAAAGGGGAGGGTTTTTAAAGAATGTTCTTTCTTTTAAAAAAATAGCTGGAATCTGGAGTTCCTCTTCCAAGCCCTATGGACTTAATGTACAAAATTTTGGTGAAAAATAAGAAGAAATCACACAAGTCGTCGGAAGGAAGCAGCAAAAAGAAACTCTCAGAACAAGTCTCAAACACGTGCAGTGACTCCTCCAGCGTGTTCGAGCCCTCGTCTCCCGGAGCCGGTGAGGGGCTGGGGGCCCAGGGGCTGGCAGGTGAGGGGCTGGGGGGAGAGGGGCAGGCGCGCTCTCTGTCTCCTATTATGCATGGGTTTAAGAATTGCTCCTCTAACACTAGCTAGAAATACTTCTTACATTTCCATTTGGGCTCAAATCTCAATGTTATTGGCTTTCCTTTGCTGCTATAACGGGAGGTGGCATAAAACTACACAAATGTCTTATCCCCCAGTTCCGGTCAGAAGGTCCATGCGGTGTCACTGAGCTAAGCTGCAGGTGGCTGCAGGGCTGCATTCTTTTCAGGAGAGTCTAGGAAATCCTAGTCCATGCTTTTTCCAACTTTCAGAGGCCACCCACATTCATTGGCTAGTGGCCCCATTCCTTCAACATCAAAGCCAGCAATATCGCTCTCATTGACCCTCTGTCATCTGCCTCTGACCACAGCCAAGAAAGGTCTGCTGTTTTGAATAACTCATGTCTTTACACCAGACCCAACAGGATAGTCCAGAACATAGGACATAGTCACAGGCTATGGACATTTTGGGGAGGACATGATTTTGGCTACCACAGAAGCCAGATAACCTTTGGAGTGACCTCATGGTTTTAAGCTTCTTTAGGGCAGGAATCCCTTGGCATGAATTATAGGACTGGGCACAAGATGTTCACTGCATGTGTTCTCATTGATGATGCTGAGACTTCTGGGCAATTCAGTATACCCCTATTTTAAAGAGCTCTATTAAAATGTGATAGGGCAAAGTTACTTAAGTTATCTATCAAAACTACTAAGTAATGCTTAACATTAATAATTCTCCTTTTTTATTTGATTTGAAATAGATTTTCTTGGTTGATGAGAAAAGAATGCTAAGTGGTCACCCATTTTCTCTGAATTATTTGCGACTTAGTCTAATTTATTTTCCAAGTTTAGTTAAAATAACCTTGGCGATCTGAAAAGTGTATCATGAAGACCTCCTGGGTGGAGGGTGGCAAGTGGAGGAAACTTTAGGCTTGAATCTAGGAAGTTCTTCAATGAAATGTTTAACTGTCATTGGAAAACTATTGGGCAGTATCTACAAAAGCTGAATGGAGGCACCCCTATGCGCCAGGAATTCCACCTCTAGGTCTGAGCCCAAGAGAAGTGCTCATAAATCTTCACCGAGGGGCAGGGACAGGAAGTGCTTAGAACAGCACTATTTAGAACAGCCACAAGCGGAAAACCAACCAAACGCTCACCACAGAGAAACACATCGTGGTCCATTCACATCATGGAGTAATATGCAGCAATTATGAACTACAACTGCTCACAATAATATGAATGAATCTCAGAAACATAATGTTGAGCAAAAGAAGTCAAATTTTAAAAAGTATGGCACGATTCCATTTATATAAAGTACCAAATCAGACAGGACTAACCTATGTCATTGGAAGTCAGGAAATGGTTATTATTGGTGAAGAAGTGACTGGGAGGAGTCCCAGGGAGCTTCGGGTCATATTTTGTTTCTTGATCGGAGTACTAGTCATTCAGGCACGTTTACATTGGTTAAATTCATTGAACTGCATACATATGATATCTATTCTTCTCTGTATACTTACATATGGCAATTAAGAGATTTTAAAATAATTTTTAAAAATTAAAATATAAACTCAGTGGCAATCGGGAAAAAAGAACGTTGGCCAACTCTCTGATTTATCTTTTCTTCTAATTTTCCATGCCAATTGTCCATTCCTTTCCTTTAGATAAAAATCCTTATCAACAAACATGATGTAATTCTTTGAAAGTCTTTTTTTTAAGTTCTTGAATGTTTATTTCAAACATTATTACGCAATTCTGACTCTTTTTTCAAAAACAGCTTTTGTTCTTTGTAAGAATGTTCTTTGTGAAGTTTTGGGATGAATGTCATTAACAGCCCACCTATTCCCTAGCACAGTTCCCTCCCTTGGGGCTGGCGAGTAACCCGTGTCTTCTTGGGATGTGGGTGCTTGGCTTCCATCTGCCTTCCTCACTCCCAGCTCCCTGCCTCTTATTCACTGGATGCATAACACAAATAGTGATTTTCACAGGCACCGAACATTATTGCTTAATACAGAGAAAGAGCAGCAATCTGTTAGTAATTCGGTAGTTCCTAAATTAGCCTCATAGTCTGTTGAGCAATCTTTATTTATTCCGGTGGAAAATTTTGGACATTGTAATATGCAGGTAGGCCCCTGAATAAGGAGGACTGCTAATTGACCAAATTTGGTTTATGGATGTTCTTGATAGTGTGAAGTCAAGGAACTTGAAAAATCATGAAATGGTTCTTATTTCAGAACTAATTTGCTTCTTGTGGCCATGGTTGGCCAGGTGCATCTTCCAGGATTCAGCCCTTTGCCAGGATACTTATCTTAAAAAACTAGGGTAAAATAAGATTTTTTTCCATGGTCCAACAAGATTCCTTCAAGGTCCCTCCAAAGACATAAGGAAAAATCAGGTCCCTGCTCATAAAGTAAAAGAAGATAAATCCTCTCTCTCCCCCTCCCCCGCCCTTGCAACCAAATTCTGACCTGATGGAGTATTTGGAATGACTGCTATATTGTGCCCCATGCAGCATTGTGCAGGAGGCTCTGTCAATCGACTTTTTAAATTAGTTGACAAAACAGAATCCCCTCTCTGATTAAAAAACAAAACATAGTTACTTGGGGCAACAAATTTGATTAGAAAAAAATGTGTTAGCCTCCCAAAAGAATGTGTCTTTAGTAGAATATGTTTTCTATCTAAAATATAATGGACTTGCCCTGGCCGGTTTGGCTCAGTGGATAGAGCGTCGGCCTGCGAATCGAAAGGTCCTGGGTTCGATTCCAGCCAAGGGCACATGCCCGGGTTGTGGGCTCGATCCCCAGTGGGGAACGTGCAGTAGGCAGCCAACCCATGATTCTCTCTCATCATGGATCTTTCTATCTCTCTCTCCCTCTCCCTTCCTCTCTGAAATCAATAAAAATATAAAAATTAAAAAATAATTAAAATAAAATAAAATAAAATAAAATAAAATAAAATGGACTTACCTTATTAACTAACCCAACATAGGCATCATAAAGTGGTTGTATGTGACTTTCTTTAATAAATAAGCCATAAATAATAAGGCTTGCTGGAGCCAAAATTCTTTTTCCACTAAAGATAGTTCATGAATGTTTTTCTCACTGCAATCATTCAGTAATCGATTCAACTTCATCAGCCAAATGAAAACAGTTCTAAGCTTCTTGGAAGACAGTGCTGTGGGTACTGTCATTTATATAGCGTGGGTATAGCAGCTAACGTAGAAGGCAGGAGGGACTGGCCAATCCAGTTGCCTCATTTTTGAGCCAATATTGCCATCTATGGGGATCATCATGCTATTGCACTGTGTGAAACCTGCCGTAGTCAACTCAACCAATTTAGAACTATGCCTTCTTTACATTTTACTTGGAACTCTATTTACATAACTGTTCTTACTGGGTCTGATGGGAGCCCAGAGATGTGTAAGAATGTAATGCTGAGAGTAGTTTCTAAACTTTCATTAGCATTTATTTTATATTCAATTTACTCCCAGGCCATACGCTTTTGTTTCTTCAGTTTCTTCTGGGATATCTTTTTCTTCTGTGCAGCCTCCTCTTCTGGTTTAGGAACAGGCTGCTCTTTTTCAGCAGGATCCTATCAGTGAGGCAGGGGGAGCTCCTGTGGGTTAACCTGCCCAGGAGCTCTGTGCTGCATCTTGAGAGCTTGTTCACCTGGATGTGCTCAATGACCAGAGACTCTAGGTCTGCACCCTCACGTTCAGCATCACTCTGCATTTTTAAGCTTGTGCAGCAAAAATTCAGCACTTTTGGGGGGATCACTGTCCCTGTGTCCAGCCCCACTATTTGTGGCCAGGGCACACCATTGTAACGACAGAATGGCACACATCACTTCTGCAGACACTTGGTGGCTTCCCGAATATGCATACCCTTTATGGCCTGGACAGGTTCATGAGTGTTCTTAAAGTGACCACCAAGATTTGAACCTCTTGATTGGCATAATTTTGTGGGGTTATCTGGGTCAAGTGAATAGGGAACCATTTTTAGAGGTCACCTCAGGCCACTGAAGGGCAGAGAACTGGTGATGTTATTTAACCTGGCAGAATCATCCACCAAATCTGCAGAGAGGAAAACGAGCCATTGGAAATGACTGCATATTGGCAAAATGTGAAGCTGAGATAGATTTCCATAATTCGGAATGATTTAAGTATTTACTTAGTTTACCCTACCTACCGTCTTAAACAGGATTTCATCATTTTCCAAGTTACATCCAAGAATGCATTCATCAAATAAGCCTGCAGGCAAATCATAGGATACCATTGGACCTTAGAGTGGTTGCATGGTTAGGTGTGGTACCACAGCCCCACCTGCCCCAGCCCCTATCCCCTTCCTTTCTTCTGTGAGGTCCTTTATGGCCTTGGGAAGGTAACTGCAAGGACACGGAGCACAGGCCAAGCACCACATTGAAGAGTCAGGGTTGAAAAAAAGATGGAAAGTGATAATTTGTCTGTTTTAGGGTGATGCAGATCCTTAAAGAGAATGCACACATCAAGATAGGACACATGTGCCATTGGAAACTAACTGTGTGTGATGTCAATTTTTTTAACATAGATTAAAATGTTTAGCATTTGTTATAGAGTGTATAAATTTCAAATGGTATTCACAAAACAAATTTACCAAAAAAGTCCATATTCAAAATGTTAGGATAATTCTCGTGATTAATAAAATTTAACTATCCAAAAGAATCATTATAAATCAAACAGTGAAAGGCCAATTTTCAAGGAAATTTTTGGTAATACACATCGCATGTGTGCTTCAAACCTGTAAATGTTTGTTCGCTTCATGATCTGTTATTGAAATTTGACAGGGGAAGCTGATACGGAGAGTGACGATGACGACGATGATGATGACTGTAAAAAGTCTTCAATGGATGAGGTGGGTGTCCAGGGCTTGCCCTCTGGTCACAGAGGCATCCAGCGAATCTGCCAGTGTAGTCAGCTCCCTCTTGACAGTCCATGGTCCCCTTCTGCCATCTAGTGGTGGAAAATGTCACCGTTCACTTTAAAACTTTTTCCCTACCCTTTGGAACCTGAAGATGCAAACTTGGGTCAGTAAAGGAGTAAGTGGGGCATTGAAAAAGTTCTCTAAAATGAACATGCTGTTGAGATTTGCCTTACATCAAATTGTGTATCGAGAGGGTGAATTCAAAATCTGTGACATGCACCTTCCTGCTTCAGTGTTTGAGGCAATTAAATGGCTTGCTAAATGGTCCAAGGTTCAGAAAAGACACGAGGTTTGGAGAAATATCCAGAAATATGACATTCATTCCATTGTTGTATTTTGAAAACACTAGAGAGCTATGAGATCAAGCACCCCACATAACTTCATGAGATCAGAAATATTAATTGCAGAGAACCTATAAGTGAATCGAGCTAGGTGAATTGGAATTTTAATTTTGTTTTAGCAGGAGTTCTCATAAAAAAAATTATACTGAGTCTGCTTTAAAGTATGTTAAAAAGTACCTGTCTCAGTACTTGTATCTTTGCAATTTAGTTAAGGATAAATAAGTAATAAGCTGTTCTTCTCTGATATTTTTCCTCTTACAATCATTTTGTTTAATGCATTGGACATTGCTTATTATGTTTCCCTACTAAATTGCAGCTTAATATTCAGGAGAAAGTTTGTTATAATGTCTGATAAAGTATTTCTGCCTGAGAGTTATTTTAATTGTTGATAAATTCTTATCAATAATTTTTAATAATTTAAAAAGTACCTTTTTAATTTGATAATTTGTTTCCAAATCAGTAATTTCCAATTAATATTTAACCTAAATATTGCTATAGGAGTTTTCAAAAGAATGCTTGTCTCCATGTATCTCTCATCTAAAAATGAGAGAAAATGTAAGATCAACCTGTAGAGTTCTACCCATGCCAATACTCAGTATTAGTTTTTTGTTTAAAACATTATCAAAATAACATGTAATAGTTAATAGTGGTTAAAATAACATGATGTTTTACTGTGTGCCAAGCACTGTTCTGAACTCTTTCCCATAAATGGACTCATTCAATAATCACAAAAACCATATATGCTATCAGAACTAATTTCACCCTAATTTTAATAAGTAAACTGAAGCACAGAGCAGTTAAGTAACTTGCCCAAGATTGCACAGCTTCTAAGTGTAGGCTTGGATTTCAAATCAGACAATCTGGCTTAAGAACCCCCCAGTATACTGTACTGCTTGCCTGAAAGGCGCACAGGAACCAAGAAGGGAGGAAAGGAGGAATGTTTACATAAAGAAAAACAATAGCTGTTTGCCCTCCCCAACCCACTTCCACAAGGTAATTTTTGTTTTTTAATAACTTCAGTTCATCTAGGGGTTACCCATATACTCATTTTCTAGTTGTACGGTGAGTTCTTGATGTATTAACTTTAGGCGTCCTGCTATGGCGATGAGATGTAGCTCAGTGCTTCTCAAAATTTCATGTGATTTGAATCACTGTAGTAAAATGAGGATTCTGGTTTGCTGCACATCTAAGGGTCTCCTGCGGAGGCTGGTGCTGCAGCCCCCAACCCTCCCTGCGCCCACTCCACATGTGGGTAATGAGAAGCTTGGCCTTTTCTTCCCCCTGGAATGAATTTTCTATTGATGATAAGCATCTGCAGGAGAGGAGGGATGATTTTCTGTGCTCCTGGGTCACGTGAGCATTGCCCTGGGAAAATAACCCTGGGCAATATAATGTTGATTCTGGGAATGTTATTTTTATTCCTGCTTCCAGGGGACTGCTGGGAGCGAGGCCATGGCCACAGAAGAGATGTCTAACCTGGTGAACTATATTCAGCCAGTCAAGTTTGAGTCATTTGAAATTTCAAAAAGTAAGTTTTCCAGGAGCAAAAACCCTAATGTGACATATAATAAGTGTATTTTAAACAGAAGGCAATTAGACAAAAAACTGTTAATGTTAATATAACTATTACTTTTTGCTGGTGGAGTCTATAATATATGCCTGGGTTGTCTATGTGATATATATGTTATATATATATTACAATAACCATATGGGAAAGTATCCCATGATGTTTCTCCAAAATACATACTAGGTCTACAGACGTTGAACAGAATACAGCTAATTGAGAGTTTTACATTTGGTTTTTGTTTGCAACCATTGTGTAAGTGACAGTGATGAAATAAACCACCTTCCCAGAGAGGAAGCAGCCAGTGACTGGTCAGCCCTGATAGCTGGAAATAGAACCAAATCAACCAATTTATCCACATTCCATTTGTCCAGCCTGTTTTATGTGTCACGGAGAACATGTGACTAGCCTCATATCACTTTATGTTTTTTCCTTTATCCAAGCACGCATTCATAGTGGATGCAAAGAAAAATATCATCTTTCCTCCATCTAGAGAAAAGAGTCCTTTTATGAAATTGCCCTCTATCGTTGCATAAAATGTAAGATGCTATCAGGTCAAAAGGTCAGCAGCCTCTTATAAAGGATAGATTTACAGATCTATCAAAATCTAAGCTTCTGCATAACACACAGGTTTAACTGTATAATTTTGCCCAAAGAGTCTTAACTTAGTGGCGTATGGTATCTAAGTCTCTACAATAAAGAATTTAATTTCCAGCACAGCTTAAGTATAAAGATTTCAACATTTTCTTTGATGCTACAATTACTGATGCTGCTGACCACAAGTTGTCCACTTTGAAATGTCCTATTTATATTACTGTGACATGAGGAAAAAGCTTCTAGACAAGTAGCCAAGTTGAGAAGGAGATGATGCATTTAAGTTCTTCAGAACTTGATAACAAGAGCATCAGCCCAAGATGGACTGAGTCATTTGAAATTTCATCTGGGGGTTCTTTTCTCTTTGTATTTTAGATTATTTTATCACTTTTAAAAAACAATATTCGCACATAGTTTACAAAGCACCTATTAAATTGACTTAATTTCAATTAACAGTCATACTTAAAGTAATTAGTCATATGAAAGGAGACTTTTGATGGTAAAAATAAGAGAAGAAAGAGTTTACAGATTATTGGATTGGGGAAGGTGAGGAGATGGGTAAAGGAGTGGGGAAGGCATAGGAAGAAGAATGAGGCTTTAAGGATGCAAAGCATATAACACTGATTTTTCCTTGGGAGGGAGACAGAAGCTCCTAGGCTCTTAGCCTCTCCAAACTAAGATAGCTTTGTTTTGCTTCTCTCATCCTAATTAGAAGCTTGGATTTCACTTTCAAAATGCTGCTCTGTGTTCGAGGACATTGAGACCTCTAGTACATTCACCTCCCAACCCTGTTATCTAATCTGAAAATGAGGCCATCAGACTGGGAAATTTCCAAGGATCCTTCTGCTTTGAAGTAACACAATTCTAATGTCACATTAGCTGTTTGAACCAAAGGATATAAGGACATATACAAACTGAGGCCCTGACGTGCGGGTATAAAAGGGGTGGCCTCTAGTAAACACACCCCCTGGTCTCTTTCGTGAATCCCAGAAATGGCCCCAAGAAGTCAGTCTGAATGGATTTCGAACAAGAGATTTCCTCAGGGGCTGTGCCCTTTTGACAAAATAGCTGTCATTGCCACACTACCCGAGACGAAAATCAATTTCCCCACCCTAATGTCACTTGGTCCCTGACTTGTGCAACCATAAGCATAAGCGGCCCAGGTGGTAAATACTAGAAGAGACAACGAACAAGACTCAGCTTTTGTAGCAGATAAATAGTAAATAGTTCCCTGAAAAAAATACATATAAAAGTTACATTGAAAATTAATTGCTGTAAATTCACTGAACATTTGCCTACTTCTCATATGTTATAATTTATAACTCTGAATTTTATTACTTACTTTTTTTTGTTTGTCATTAACTCAGAAAGAAACAGAAGTTTTGAAATGTCTTCCTTCGTGGAAACCAAAGGACTTGAGCAGCTGACGAAGTCTCCGGTGGAATTTGTAGAGTATCCTTGATTTGACGAATATCAACTGAATAGGCACAACTGAAGTCATGGGTTATTTAATTTTTGCTTTAAATAAGCAAAAGGATGCATGCAATGGCTTCAGTCTGTCACCTGGGTGTGATAAATAGTTTCAGGTTTCATTGGCACTGCTGGGTAGGGCAGCCTGGCGTACAGAAAAGAGAACTGGCCTTGGAGTCAAGCATTTCAAGAGTATTTTCTCACCATCCAGCTCTTTGTCCTTTGTCAGTTTGCTTGACCTTCCTGAAATTTCTCACCTATAAAACATAAATAATGATACCAGCTTTATGGCTCTCTGTTCGGGTTAGGGACAACATATGTAAGATATAATACAAGTATGGCATGTATATATGTAAGCCTAACTTGGCATCTTGCATCTTTGGACATTTAATAAATGGCCAATAAAAAGTAGTTGGGCCTGGCCGGTGTGGTTCAGTGGTTGAGTGTCGACCCATGAACCAAGAGGTCCCCGGTTCGATAACTGGCCAGGGCACAGGCCTGGGTTGCAGGTCAGTTCCCAGTAGGGGGTGTGTAGGAGGCAGCCTATCTATGTCTCTCTCATTGGTATTTCTATCTCTCTATCCCTCTCTCTTCCTCTCTAAAATCAATAAAAACATATTTTAAAAGAATAGCTGGAATAATGATATGAGAATATAAATATATATTACTACTAAAGGCTTTGTTGATACTTCTAACAACAAAAACTACTTATTATTATCCATGACCCAAAATAAAATGAAACAGGTCTTTACATATTTTTCATAAAAGTAATATTAAATGTGTCAATGAGCTCAATTTCATGAAGCAAGTCCTAGAATTTAAAAAAAAAATCACCTTTTAAACTCATCAATAGGAGAGAGAACAGCTGTAAAGTCCATATACAGTCACACTATAAAAATCATGATCATTAGTGTTCATTAAGTACTATCTATGAGATTGACCTTTCATTATGTCTTACCTCATTTAATCTTTACAATTGCCCTGTGATGTAGGAATTATTCAATCTATTTTATAGATGAGAAAACGAGGCTCAGCAAAGTGAAATAATTTGCCATAGATTATACATAGCCAGTAGCTTTCAGAATTAAGGTGCAAACTTAATGGTCCAACACCCCAGCCCAAGATCAGAAACAACTGACCTCTACCTAACTTGGTAATAGGAATAGTCAATCATGTTTTAAACATGTAGTTATTGTTCAATAACTAAAAGGTTCTCAGGGTGGAAAACTGATGACGGTAGGACCCAAAATACAAAAGGAGGTCAAAACCTTCTGTGCTATATTTACCTTGTTATCAATCATAGAAAGTACCCCAGTCTTGGCAAATAGCATTCCCAGAGAAGGCTGAGAAAATGAGCAGAAAGCATTTCAAAAATAGCCATGCAGTTCTTTTATCTGCTTCAGCCAAACACAGTATCCTCCTCTCACATGATCTGATGCCCTTGAGCTTCCTCATGTGTTTTTAATCAGTAGGCCTATCCTTAATAATCTCTACAAAATCATGTTGACCTTGACTCAGCCATGTTTGCTGCCTATTAGTTTTCACCTACAAGGGGCTGCAAAGGTAATGCTACATTTATATTATAAACACTTATTCTGTTTGTTCAGCAAGGTTTTTACATACTTTGCCCTCTAGCCCAATGAGATCATCCATATTTATTTCATTTCCCCAGTGGAGAAAGATGGAAGGTGGCTTCTCAGGTGATATTCTTGGCTAATTATTTTTATAATTGTATTCACTACTTAACATGATGGTCCAGATATAACAAAATGCAGCTTAGCAGGATATATCCGAAAGGAACACGTGTAGATTCATCCAACTATATGCCTCAGCTCTTCTGGAATGCAGGCTGTCAAATGGTTGCCCTTAATTTCCAAACAGTGGGTAAGTAGCACAGTTTCTGCTCATTTCCATTGTCATAAAGCCATATTTCCAAGGACCCCAAACCCATTCCGAAGGATAAAAAATTGCCAGACTTGACTGAAACTAGGAAAAGTAAATTTTAATAAAGGAAATACCAATGTAAAAAAAGTAAAATTGAGAAATTGTCTGCAATAGTTTATAAATGAGTGTTTCTTTCTACTGGTCTTGCATTATTTTCAAACAAAAACCTTTATACTTTTTAAAGTAATATGTATTTATTATAGAAAAAGTTGGAAAATCCAAAGATGTATAAAGAAAAAATAAAACTCAGAGATTCAAAACTCAACTTTATTATTTGTTATCTATAAGGTTTTTTGACTATGTATGTATATGCTTTTTCACTTAATTCCACATATATTTAAATGTTATACAGAAACATGAATTTTAATATCTGTATATTAAGCACATTTCACAATTCACTAAAACCCATTTCCTATCACTGAACACTAGGGAATTTTTTTCTACTATAAATAATGCTCTGAGAATAGTCTTGATATAAATTTTCAAGTCTATCTACTGATGTTCTTTTGGCAAAGTTCCTAAAACCAAATTACTCTGTCAAAAGATGTGAGGTTTTAAGAAACTTTGTACCAAAGTTTTTGCCAAACTGTTCATCAAAAAATGTTGCCCCAGAATTTCTCTCCATCAGCAATGTATGGCGGGAAGTGTTCCTGCTCATCTGAGATCTTGGTTAAGTGTTATCCTTAAACAATAATAATACAATTTGAGACAAAATATTGTTATTTCTTCATTGTTTTAATTTCATTTTTTGATTATTATGGAGGTTGAACATTTAAATATGTGGGTTTAAAACTGTTTATATTTCTGCTTTTATGAATCGCCTATTCAGGCCTATTGTCACTTACAGTGCTTTTTATATAAAGGGCGTGTTGTCTTATTTTGTGAAATAGATGAGATCAGATTTTTAATGGTGTGTTTTTTTTTATGGAGTCTTGGATTACTTTAATGATTGCAGCTTCCCCTGGATCAGATTCATATTTACTTTCATTTCTCTCATATTTTAATATTTCTAATTTTACCCTTTCATCTATCCAAAAATTAATTTTTATATATAACCTCAGTAAGATATCAATCCTTTTTTATACTGACCTGAAATTACAGCTTAATAGGTATACCCTTTTCTGTTATAGTTAACTTGGATCCATTTTTTTCTATTTATATTCTTCTCCATTAATAAGTTTGTCTGCTTTCTGCAACCCATAACACACTGTTATTATTGTAGTGTTTAATAAATGGCTTAATACCTGGAAGTGGAAATTCTCCTTCCTAGCTATTTTCAGTTATTTTCTTGCCATTGCCAGTAGGATTTCTGGTTTCCAATAAATTTAGCTTAATTATTATCATGTTTCTTTCCCCCCACCCCTGGGGGGAAAAAAGAGGTTTTTATTAAAATCACGTTAACTTTACATTAGGTTAATTATTATTATGTATTCCTCTGCCCCACTGGAAAAAAATGAGATTTATATTAAATCACATAAAATTTATAAATTCATCTGAAGAATGTATCCTTAATTTTTTTTATCACTGAAAGAATGTTTTTCTCTTCAATTTAAAAATTATATTAAGTCCCTCAGCAGAATCACTTGTCTTTATTAGAGGTCTAGTTTCTTTAGATGAAATCTCTTTTTTGACATTATATTTTTAACAGATTGTTTCTAGAAATTAATATTTATATATTTCCGTAATAAGTAAATTTAGTTTATAAATGATAATCTTCCTAAACTCTTATAATTTCCCTTTTTGCCAATAGATTCTATTGGGTTTTGCAGACATACAATCACAATAATTTAATCACATCTGCTTTTCCCCCTTCCTTAGGATTTGGACTAATTGTTCTAGAATAATATTAAATAGCAGTGGTGTGCATCTTTCTCTTCACCCTGGACACTATTGGCAATTTCACCATTGTGATACCATTGAGTAGATGTTGGCTGTGACTTTAAGACAGATATTCTTTCACACATTAAAGGAATATAAACTTGTTCTAAAGACCAGCAGTATATTAGGAATTTATGTTAAATGTTATTAAATATCGCGGACTTCTATGTTATGGGATGATTGTGTTCATTTCTTCTTTTGTGAGAAAATGTGATAAATTATATTAATAGATCTCCTAATATGTAATTATCCTTGTGTTCCTGTGATAAATTCTACTTATTTTTTGGGTATTATTTCTTAAAGCATATGATTTGCTAATATAATTTTTAGGCTTTTGGAGTTAATTTTTTTCAAGTATGGTAAGTCAATCATTTTCATTTGTTTTTTACTTTGTCCAATTTTAGTATCACAATTATACTAGCTTAATAACATGAGAGAAAAAATTTCACTTATTTTCCCTGATCTAAAAGTTCTTTTTTTCATGGAACTATGAAATATGTCTACCATCACCTTTTTTATTGTCCAGCCCAAAAGAGATGAGTTTCAGCTCAGATAATCTGGGATAAATGACAGCTTCTCAGATTTCTTAGGACTTTAAAATGTGTTGTTGTTTTTAACCCCAGTAATTGCAATTAGTGTGGACATTCATTTCATACAGAGTGTTAGGGGAACTTTGAGCAGTAATCTTTGTCCATTAGAAACAGGTCAACATGCAATTCAATATTGGTGGTAAGTAATCAAAGAAATGCAAAATTTAAAAGGAAACTTTTTCCCATAAATTAAAAAAGAAAAATTATAGCAGCCGCTGTTGGTGAGGTGTGGGGAGGTCCTTCCTTAGAAACAGGGATTAGAGGTTTAAAGTGGTTTAAGCTTTCCGAAGGGTATTTTAGCAAGATTTACCTAAAATCTTTCCCAAAGTGCATATCTTTTGATCCAGAAATTTCACTCCTAAGAATACTGTTAATCATATCCTCAAAGAGTTCACCACTATGATGTTCATCAAAACATTATATGTAATGGTGACAATTTAGAAGAGACTCATAAATGTGCCTTTAAAGGAGCCTGGATGAATACATTTATTCAAATATATCTATTCAACAGAATTTTGTATAGCTTTTAAAATTAAAGCAGGCAAATATTTAATGGAATAGACATACTGCATATTTAAAATATACAGGGTATCCTCAAAAATGTGTACACATTATAAACGCAGTGTTTAGAGAAATTATTTCATTTTCAAAATGTAATATAATCTATGGCTATCAGCTATTAAAGTGTCTATACATTTTTGGGATACTCTGTATTTGAAGTAGAAAAACAAAATATACACCAATCTGTTGTTAGTAGCTTATCTCTGGATTTGGAGATTTTAGCTCAATTTTTTTTTGTATGTGTGTCCTACATTTCTACAATGAATACATATTTCTTTTTGAAAGGGGAAAAAAAGTGGACCATAATACAATCTTACTTTCTTTCTACAAAGATAATAGAGTCACAGTAAGGTTTGTGTCTTTGGTATGCAGATCTGGCTATGCAGATCAATATGGGGATGTATGAATACAATGGGAAGAGTGGCTACAGATTAAAGCCAGAGTTTATGAGGCGACCTGACAAGCATTTTGATCCATTCACTGAAGGCATCGTAGATGGGATAGTGGCCAACACTTTGTCTGTTAAGGTATGTATGTCTCTTTTATAAAATTGTCCCCATCAAAAGTCTTGGACATTACCTATTTTGTGTAAAAATGTAGTTGAGTCATTAAAGGTGTAGTTGCTAGCACAGTCTCCATTTCCTTCAGACATTTTTTTTTTAAGGCCTGAATCTGAATTAGAAATTCTGAGACACTACGTACAGGAAATAAAGGGACTCGGCTGCACATTCAACAGGATAAAAATTGGACCCTAAGTCAACAAAACAAGTTGGTGAGACACACCATGGCCAACCCTTTCTTTTGGTGTAAATGTCCCACAGTAAAATTTACACAAAAACTACTGGAGAAATCTTCTTATTTTTTCTAGAGAAATATCCACACTGAGAAAAATCAGAGAAAAAAAGTATCCCCAATAAATTGTCAAAATGGAATAAAAGCTCTGAACTTACCATAGCATGGATTTAAAAATCTATCAGAGTATTCAGGGATTTAAAACAGATATCAAATTAAAAAATTGCTTTATTAAATATTTATCTGACCCTAACAATGAATTTCAAATGATTGCCGCAATCTTTGAAATTGATGTTTCAGTAGATATACCTTTTTTTCCTAGCTGTGAGAATTAATACCATGAATGGCAAATCATTTTTATAAAGAACTTTTTACATGAATTCTATAAGCTCTGGGTTATTTTAGCTAAATTTCATTTTACATTTTAAAGTCTTATTTTTTTTCCTCTTTAACTGGATGACTGTTAACTAAGAAACATTTTTTATTGGATATAAATTCAATTTTCAGATTGATCCAAAACCAAAGGCATATGAAAACCTATAATTAAAAAGGCTCTATAACAGTTTCACTAATTTATATCTACCTTAAGCTTGTTGAGCCCATTTTTTTTATTTTAAAATGTGTTACTTTACCAAGGATTAAAAATAAAATTTCAGTGAAGTCTCTCACAATTATATCCTTTGAAATTATTTCACAGCATATATCTGAAGAGCAGAGTTGGCAGAATTAGAGCTTCAAGATTATATTTATTTTTAGGAAATTGTTTTCAGCAAAGGATGTGTAATTCCTGTCATTTGATTAAAATAAACTCTTAAGCATAACTGATAAAATGGTATTTTTAGAATCTTTGTCAATTGTTATAGTTGGGTCAAACTAATAATATTTTCTTTGCGGATTCGCCTTGTTTTGTACATGTTGGCTTGTTCATTTATTTTTTTTTCTTGAAAATTCTTCTGTGACAGTGCAAACAACTATAAAACGATGACATAGAGACAGGAAAGTAAGTTGAGGGGAAACAGTTGAGTCTTAGGAAAATGTACTGCTGCCTGAGTCCAGAATGGAGACCCTGTTCCAGAGCTGTCAGTATCCTGTGAATGGATGGCCATGCTGCATTGGAGTCCTGCTTTTAACCTGCAGCTAGAACTAAGATGAGCTCACATCTGTCCAGTGGTGCTTGTGTTTTGATCTGTGACATAGACTTCATAGTGCCAGAATGGACTTGTGCACTCAAATGGTTTTGGCCATTGTCTTTCATTGATGAGAATGTGAGAGTAGTGCCACTGAGTTAAGGACTTCTGCTTTCATCAGTCATCATAAGTTCACAAGAACATTCAGGGGAAATTCAGACAGCCTCTTCCTCATGACTTTCTACCTAACTTGTTTGGAATTTTTGACTACAGCAGCATGTAGCTGACTTGGGCCTCACTTGGCCACTTGGCCACTGATGCCCATTTTCAAGTCACCATTGTGTTTGGTTTCTGACTCAGTCATAGTCTTGGAAATTTTGTCCCCTTCCACTGACTTGAGCTCAGGAAGGTCTTGGCCAGCAGGCAGCCTTGTAACCAGGCAACCCAGACTTGCCAGGTTTGCTCTGTCAGCACTTGCTTGCTGCTGCTCCCCTCAGGTGTTAAAGCAGAAGACAATAGTGCTGTGAAGGCCTGGGGAGGGGGCAGAGTGGAGAGGAGGGGTCAGTGAGAGGAAAAAAAGGGATATCAGTAATACTTTCAACAATACAGTTAATTTTTTTTAAAAAAGACACATTTATGATACCTGAAGAATCACTCGGGTTTTAAAAATTGGGTGAGAAGAAGAGGCAGATGTGGGAGACATTTTATGACTATGTGATTTAGAAATCTCTTTTAATTCCATAGTATCTGATAATTTTACAGCTAGGCAGAGGATACCCACAATTGTGTGGATGGCTAAACAGGTGAGATTAGAAGGAATAATGAACTGAGTTTAATGGTTAAAGTCGCTATTTATTGTTTTTGTCTTTTCAGTCATCATTGTGACTTTTTATTTAAAGTGTAACAACTTTGAGAATTAGTATACCATGGGATTACAACCACTCCTTCAAGTAAAATTTCATGAACAACAGGAATTTTTTTTTAAATGCTAGAGTTTCTACTATGTTATGTTTTAAATTTGTACTCTTAAATTACCTTTTAGTTTCATTTATAATTATGCTAAAATGAGAAGTTTCCTCTTGTAATATTTTTAAGTATTAGGAAAAACTTCATATTCAGTTGCCTCTAAAGACCAATCTTTCATTTAATATATGTATCTTAAGTACATCAGGCAAACATTTTATCAAACTTTTGTTCATTTATTTCCTCCTATACAAGTTTGTCTTGTTGACTCCTCTCACCCCAGCATTTTCAATAGTCCCCCACTAATTCTTTAGCCAAAAGAGGAATTATATTTGTACTCTTGCTCCTATTTATTGTTTAACATTCACCACAGCATTTGTGCCTCCCTGAAGCATTTTCTTATATCACTGTTATTCATTTATGAAGAGTTACTTTTTATTATTTTCTAGATCATTTCAGGTCAGTTTCTTTCTGATAAGAAAGTCGGGACTTTTGTGGAAGTGGATATGTTTGGTTTGCCTGTGGACACGAGGAGGAAAGCATTTAAGACCAAGACATCCCAAGGAAATGCTGTAAATCCCGTCTGGGAGGAAGAACCCATTGTGTTCAAAAAGGTTGGTCTTGTGTCCTTGGCATGATATGGAATTGCACATTCTAGGTGTTTTACACTGAGAAAAAAATGAAAAAGAAGAATATTTTTGTGGCTAATTGGGGAACTTACACAGTAATAAAGCAATGGCATTTTGAAAGCTATCTTGAAAACTAGTCAAGATCTCTGTGAATCACTTGTTCAGAGTTTCAGAACTGTATTGTAAATCAGTTAATTCTAGTATACCTCATGTGGAAGGCCAGAATAACATATACATCTAATTCATATTCTCTCATAATACAGTGGTAAATGATATATTTTCATTATGACTCAAATGAAGTAGAGGGGGGAAATAAGGAATAGTATGATAGTTGAGAGAAAGTCAGGTCATATTTCTTTATAAAAGAATATTAATTAAATTCCCTAGACTCTCTAGCCACCGCAGCTGGTCATTCAATCTTGTCAGGGTTCTGTCTGATAGAGATAAAACCTTTTACATTCACCTGGACCTTCTCTCTGCCTTTACTAAAAAAGCAAATCATCTTCATACATGTTTATCACACAAAGGAAGACAGTAAGTTCAATAGAAAGTAGCATAGGCTTTCTTACCATACCCTTTGCTTTTATCTGGCCAAAATATCCACACAGGAAGTCTTCTGCAAAGAGAATGTCTATATTAAAGGACTCCGTGCCCCATCATTTCTTATATTAATTAGGTCTATTAATAGTCTCTACTTCATAGAGTTGGTATAAATATCCCCTACCATGCTGAAAGCATTTAGAAAAATTTGGCACATTGAAAATAGTCAATAGATGTTAGTTTGCTCTTGCTGGCAAAAATACATTTTTTTAAGGATGCCATTGGTCTAATGCTTTTGACATGGGATATAACTGTGTACTCTGCATGTATTACATTGAGGGTGAAAATGAGCAATTTTTCTGGTGCCTCATTTGGGAATTTACAAATTTATAAAGCAATCTCATTTTGAAAACTATTCTGAAAGCTATTTTTTGTTTTGTTTTGAAAATATACAAGTGGTTTGCTTTGAAAATATAGTAGTAAATGCTCAAATAATGATAAGACCACTAACTCTTTGGATTTAAACATATAACTTTTGTCATTTCCACGCTGAGAATGTTCATGTTAAAAGCAGATGTCCTGTGTGTTGAACAAATTCCTAGTTAGGACACAGTGATAAAACATAAAGTGGTATCTCTGGTAACCCTTCTCCTTTTGAAAATCTAAGTTGTAGAGCAACAATTTAACTTTTTGTCAACTTGCTAAGTAGAAGCTTCTAGTTGGATCTGGAAAAGCAGGACCCATATGAATAATATCTCTCTAATTCTTTTCTGTTTTCTGGAGTTGCTCCTTCTTGTAACCACATGTGTCCTTAATGTCTCTGAAGGTAGTTCTTCCTTCACTCGCCTGTCTGAGGATAGCAGCTTATGAAGAAGGAGGAAAATTTATTGGTCATCGGATCTTGCCAGTACAAGCAATTCGGCCAGGTATGGATGGTGTGGTGAGAAGCTTTATACCAAAGTTGTAAAGAAAATCATCCCTGTCGTACATGATTATTAAAGAATGATTTAGGAAGCTGTTTGTGGCTTTGGTGTTTTGTTCTACAAGGGCTCTAAGACTATTTCAGTCTGGCAGCTTCATGTGTTTGTGGCATGCTATGATGTATGAATCAATTCTTGCCACAATAATTGTGCATAACAAACTACCTGAAAACTCAATGGCTTATAAATATTTATCTTCATACGCACCAGTCTGTGGGTTGGCAGGGTTTGCTGGGCTCAGTCGTATAGCTGTGCTCCGGGCTGTGGGCTGGGTTGGGCCTATTCCACATGTGCTCATGCAGGGGCCCAGGCTGAAGGAGCAGCGTACACACAGTAGGATTTCTCAGGGTACCCACTGGAATGCATAAAAGCAAGCCGGACGATACAAGTCCATTGTAAGCCTCTGCTTGCACCACATCACTGAGGTCCCATTGTCCAAAGCAGAGCATATGATAAAACCCCAAGTGAAGGAATCATGGACAAGGGACAAATTTGGGGCAGTAATTTAATCTATGACAATGCCACTGAATTCTCTTCTTTGGGGGAAAAATGTGGTTGGAAAGAAAAAAATCAAAATCAACATTGTTTTTCCATCTGATGAGAAAAATAATACTTTCTCACTTAAAACTATGCAATTAAAGTGAGAAAAGTGACCTGTTTGTCATCCAAAGTCCCCTAAAATAAACACTTCTATCACATAGATGTTCTTGTGTGCTAACGAACATTGTGAAGAAATATGTGATGAACAGTATTATTGTCGCCCTCCAGGCTATCACTACATCTGTCTGAGGAATGAGAGGAACCAGCCTCTGATGCTGCCAGCTGTCTTTGTCTACATAGAGGTGAAAGACTATGTTCCAGACACCTATGCAGGTAAACAGCCTAATCAAACGGCTCATCCATATTTTTGTGGGAAAAAAGATAGGAGGTCCTGGCCTCAGAGTCACCTCTATTTTATATTTATGTCTAGAAAGTAAATTGCTCAAGCCTTTATGAACAAGTGTTAATTTAATTTAGTTCAAGTTTCAATAAACTATTGAGCCTATTTATCCACTGGTAGTAGTACTCTCATGGGCCCAACACTTTCTAACCCATGCTGCCTGGTACTACAGCAGTCTACAGATCTGTGTAATTATTTTTGCCTTGCCAGTTTTAGAACCCTGATTCTTTTCATGCGTGGAACTCTAAGTTTAGAGAAGTTAACTTATGATGATATCAACAAGGGATCATAAATTTAAACACAGTGATAAGTGGCCTGGGTATAATATACTAAGGAGTAGTGAAGAATGCGGCATGCCCTAGCTGGTTTTTCTCAGTGGTTAGAGCATTGGCCCAAAGACTGACGGGTTGGAGGTTCCATTCCTGTCAAGGGCACGTACCTCCATTGCAGGCTGGATCCCCACCCTGGTCGGAGTGCATGCGGGAGGCAACCAATTGATGTGTCTCTCTCACATTGATGTTCTTCTCTCTGTGTCTCTCCCCCTCCCTTCCACTGTCTCTAAAAATCAATGGGGGGAAAATATCATCAGTTGAGGATTAATAAAAAAATAAAAAGACTGTGGCAAACTTGAAGCATGTGCCCCACCCAAAGATGGCAGCCACATTCACTCCAGCTAGACCCACATTGCCAAATCTTTTGGTTGTTTCAACCATCTGGAAAACAGGCTTTTTATGTGAAATGTCTCCACTTATGAAACATCATTTGGGCCAAACTCAGGTCCCTGGAATGGATGGAATTGAAATTAAACTGAATAATATGGAGCATTGAGACATCCTGATTTGGAGCCTGTCGTGTTTGGCTCTCAGAGCTGCCCTCCATTGAGGGCTCTCTTTCTGGAGTTTCAGCAAAGGGTCTTAACTCTTGCTCATTTTTAAAATGTTGGATGAATGAGTGGGTAGTTATACTGGTAGATGGAAGAATGGAAAATGAATGATGAATTGGTAGGTGGATGGGTGAGTAGATGGATAGATGGATGCATGGATGGATGGTGGATAATCAATACTTCCAAGATCTTTCATCTAAAACGTCTCTTCCCTATTTAGATGTGATTGAAGCTTTGTCAAATCCAATTCGATATGTGAATCTGATGGAGCAGAGAGCTAAGCAACTGGCTGCTTTGACACTGGAAGATGAAGAAGACGTAAAGAAAGAGGTGAGAGGGAGTGCTAATCTTATGCATGACATTAAGGGTGATTTCCACACCTCATTGCTGGCTTTACCTATGTAACACCACACCTCAGGAGAAGAAATCAGCACATTGGGAAAACATCTTGATGGAGTTCATCATCATCTCACAAAACAACCAGATGATTAACTGAATTTTTCATATTTCATTCTCTTCTGGTATCCTGTGGCTACCACCAGTGTCTTATTTTGTGACCCATGAAACAGTACACATCTTGCTGCTTCATATGAAAATTTCTAGATGATTTCATGTTAATTAAAGATGATTAAGGCACTTATAAAAGAAGATGATTATCAAGTCATTTAGTACTTTCTTTTGTCTTCAATTTAAAGTACAGGATTTTCAAAGTGCTTTTGTGATTTATTACAATACATAAGGTACTTAAAACAATACCTGGTGTGTAGTATGGGCCATAAGGTGTTTGCTATTATTATTACATTGTATATTTATGTGTTAAAATATGTATTCCTAAAACAGTTGGCATATTATTCTAAGTTACATATCACCATGTAAAGAATAATTAAGGAAGGGTTTAGAAATATTAGAAGTGAAGTTTAAAAATATCAAGCCTCTATGTACACTGGAGATCCTTTGGTTTTTAAAAAAAGTGAAATATTATTTAATGATTATTGGAGTTAGCCCCAATATTAAAAATAGTGATAAAAAATAGCTATTTTATATTTTATTTGAATATTCAGATAATAAATTCAGGGGAAAAAATATAAGAAAAATGGATAACTATGCGTGTGGGGGGAAACCTTGAAAACTGTTTAGATAACTATAACCAATAGGAAATCCACTTAAGTTGATATTATCTATTAAGTAGCCCTTTCCTTATTCTAAAGGAAGCATAGGTTTATCATAGAAAAAATTAAAAATAAAAAGGAGAAAAGAAAGACTTAAAGATATCACCTATAATTCAAATGTCCAATCCACTAGCGGTAACACTAAATATGGGATCCCATATAGCTAGTTTTTATGTACAATTATACTCGTTCATAAAATGGGATAGTACTCACAATCCGTGTTTTATTTTCACTTAATGAAAATATTTCCATGTTATTAAATATTCTATGGTATGACTTTTAGTAACTTCGTGGTCTTCTATCATGTAATTATACCATGATTTATATTTCCATTCCCCTCTTATTGGGTATTTGGAATGCTTCTCTATTTTAAACAGATCTTCCATGACTATCATGTAAATTTTTAGCACATTTATGATTATTTCCTTGGTTTTGTATAGAATTTCAGAAATTTTAAATCTAAGATGTTGAGTTAACTGAACATGAGAAAAATGAAATGAAAGGAAAATATTTCACATACATGTAAGATTTTCTAGTCTCTCGTTTACACTGCAGGACCAATAGATACATCATCCTCTGGGATGAAATTTCAGGTTAGACTGGGAAGTTTCATAAATAATGCTGTATGCAGTTTGCAATAAATGGGGTTGTAGGGAAACTTTATACTGTCAGGAAATTATGCCTAATGGCAGACATGAATATACTTCCAAGTTGCTTGTGCCTCTGACATCTAGGCTTACCATTTGCAGAGGGAAACCTAGAAACAAACAAACAAAAAACACCTGAGGCCCCTGCTTGAATTTTGAGGGCTTGGTGTAAGCAATCACTGCTATACAGGCCCATTGAAGAAGGTGTGTTTGCAAGCTCCAAGCAGATGCTGTTGGTGGCCTGCCCACATCTCCTTTGCAGGGCTGCTGCAGCTGTGGGCGGCGAACCCCGCACAGCTCCAGGCTTCTCCAGAGGACCGGCCTGGGCTGATGGGAGCCACCTTCTCTGGAGATGCCTGGAAAGTTATTCCTGGAATAGAGTGGTCCATGCCCAGAAACTGAAAGATCCTGGAGAATAATTCAGGTCCCTTGCTATTGAGTGGGCAACTTCTGTGTTGCAATTCGCACTCCCAAACTGCCCCCCACCCCCACCCCGCCACACACACACTTTTGTTGGATCAGGCTAAGGTTGAGACAACATTTTAACTTATCTTCTCTCCTTGTTTACCCTGCCTTCCTCACTTCCTGACAGTTTTCTCCTGAGAGCATGCTCTCAATAAATCATGTATTCAAGAACCCTTGTGTGCAGTTCTGCTTATAGAGAACCCAGCAATGCTAAATAGCTTCTGTTTACCATTAAATTAAAAATGAAAGCCCTTTTTGAATATTTTGCTTGGGAACTAGAATTTAAATGTTTGCCAATAGTTATATCTTTAATCTGGGTATTTCTTCAGAGATAAGAGTGTGTTATTTTTCTTTCCAATGGCCTTTGAAAAGATTAAGACTACAGAATGTCTTGCTTTGCTCATCTACACACCAATATGAAATTAGAAGCTCTCCTTAGAAATCCACCAGAAGCTCTGAAAATTTTCTCTCCTACCTTCTTATGCTTACTACCATACTTAATAAAATTTAATTCAAGGCAAGTACAGTTTATATAGATATAAGTAAATTACTATTCATAGCATCCTTCTCTGATTAGAAAACAGGAGTCTCCTTACTCAATTAGATATATTTTATTTTCTAAGAAATAGAAGTTGGAATGAAGCATTTTCAAGTGAAATTACACATTTTGTCACTATTTAGAAACAAGACTTTTTATATCATCAACTTCTACCTCTTTGTTAACCAGGTTCTCCAAGGAGTAAGCTCTCCCTTGAGGAGAACTTTTCAAGACACCAGCCTCTTCAGCGTATGTAGTGCAGCATTTGGGGTAAAGGTCTCATAATGGGACATTTTGCTGATGGTGCCTCTGAGCGACCCTTTCTCTATTTTCCTTTCTTTCTTTTTATTTTTTATATATTTTTTAAATTTTATTTTATTGTTTAAAGTATTACAGATAGTAGTACATATGTCTCCTTTTGAAAAGCCATATTGATGGGAATTTACTATTGAGTATACACATGCCCTCACACCCTCCCGCCCCCCAGTGTCTTGTGTCCATTGGTTATGCTTATATGCATACATACAAGTCCTTCTGTTGATCTCTTACCTCCTTCTCCCCCAATTGCAAGGAAATGTCACTAAGGAATGGAGACCTGGGGCCCTTGAGATTGCAAGGGTCCTTTCACGTTGCTGTCCTTTCAAAGCCTTATCTTTGCAAGACATCGCCTGCCAAAAAGCTATTTGGGAAAAATAAAACAGCCCTGGATATAAAAATGCAGTAGAAGTTTAGGTCAACTTTATTTTTGTTTCTCCTCTAAAAAAAATGGTGATCAGAAAGGATTTTCAATAAATGTATAATGTTGGTTAAACTTAGAGAAAACTTGGACCTTTTCAGTTTTAGAAATAATTTAAAGACATTGAATCAGATAGATTCCATATGGTTTAACAGAAAAAAAATACAAATTTTTCCTTTGGAATGTCTAAACCCATAATTGCCGTCATTTTTGAAATTCAAGAAAAAAGTCATTTGCCCTTACCATGGAACAGTAGGGAAGAAAAGTCATTTCCCACCTCTGGGCACCAGTGTGCCCTTCATCTTGTCTTGCAGTAATGCACGGTCCTTTGAATGAGGCCACTGAACATAAGGAGCTGTGGTTTTCTCGGAAGAAAATTTTATCTAGGACATGGCAGGCACTGGAGACACTATTTTAGCAGCGAAGACGTTTTTAGTAGAATCCTTTTAACTTGTACCTATAAAGGTCATATCTATTTGAAAATTAAAGACTTCATTGCACTGCAAAATATTCCCAGATTTGTAATAGTCTAATAAGTTATCTTCATACAGTAAATTGCAAATCAAATAACTAGGAAAATTGAAAATTCCTCCATGCTTGGACAATAGATATTTATTTCATATCATGTGAAAAAATATCTATAATAATAAAAGGGTAGTATGCTAATTAGACCAAATGTCTTCCGGACATCATTCCAGACGTCCTTCCTGATGAAGCCGGGCCAGAGGGAAGCCAGCCGGGTCCCAGGTGCCTGCAGGCAGCCGGAGGAGGGAAGCAGCCCAGGTCCCGGGTGCCGGAGGGAAGCCAGTGCCGGCAGCCAGGGGAAGGAAGGCCTAGTCTTGCATGAATTTTTGTGCATCGGGCCTCTAGTGTGTGTGTGTGTGTGTGTGTATATATATATAT